ACACTGCCTCCTGTGTGTGTGTGTGTGTGGGGGGGAGGAACATGTCCTCACATGACAGAAGGTGAATGGACCAAAAGAAAGACTAAACTCCCTGTGTGAAGCTTCTATCATAACAACAGTAATCCATTCACAAGGGCAGAGTCCTCATGACCAAAACATCTCCTAAAGGGCTCCACCTACACTGTTGCATTGGGGATTAATTTTCCAAATCTGAAATTTCAGGAACACAAACATTCATACCATTCCATCCCACCCTGACTCCCCAATCAGATCCCAATAGCCTTAAGAGTCTTAACTCATTACAGCATTAACTTGAAAGTAATGTTTATAGTCTTATCTAAATCAGGTAGAGGTGAGACTCAAAGTACAATTCATCCTGAGGCAAACTGCTCTCCAGCTGTGAGCCCATGAAATCTAGGTTATGTATTTCCAAACCACAGTGGTGGGAAATGCATTGGATACATATTCCCATTCCAAAAAGGGAGCAAGAGGAAAGAAAGAAAGAGTAATAGGAACCAAATAAATCCAAACCAACAGATAAACAATATTCAATTATGAGGCTTGAGAATAATCTAGACTCCATATCCTGCTTTCTAGACACACTGGGGTAAGTATTGGTTCCCCAAGGCCAGACAGTCCACCCCATGTCCTTACTGTGCTCAGCCCATGCCTGCAGCTCTCCCAGCTGGTGGCTGGTAGCTCTTATAGGTTTCATGGACAGCCTTGCTCCCACAATTCCATTATACATGTTCCTAATAGGGATACTGCGGTGGCTCTGGCCCTGTAGCAGGTCTTTACCAGGCCTGGAGGCTCTCTGAAGCATCTTTTGGAAGCCACGCCCCCACACCTTACATTCTGTGGGCCTGCAGAATCAGCCCCACGGTGAACCCTGCAGAAGTTCACGGCTTGGGCCTTCTTGAGCAATGGCCTAGCAGCACTGGAGCCCGCTCGATCCTAACCAGGTGGATGAAGAGCTCTGTGCTGGAACGTGAGCAGCAGAGACCTGAGGTGACCTTGGGCAGCATGCCTCAAAGTCCTCCAGGCATCCTGGTCACCTTCCTGAAACTGTTCTATCCCCAAGGCTCTAGTACTCTGGGCCACTGACAGGCATGGCTGCCAGAAAGATCTTGGAAATGCTTCCCCCACCCAGCTTTTTTTTTTTTTTTTCCCTGCAGTAGGAGTAATGAATCCATGGGGACTCCACCACTGAGCTACACACCCAGCCCTTTTTATGTTTTATTTAGAGACAAGATCTTGCCAAAGGCCTGTGCACCACCTGGTCTCCCTTTGCTTTTTTTTTTTAATATTTTTATTTTAGCTGTAGGTGGACACATAACTTTATTTTATTTATTTATTTTTATGTGATGCTGAGAATCGAACCCAGTGCCTCACACATGCTAGGCAAGCGCTCCACCAATGAGCTACAGCCCCAGCACCTGTCTTCCTTCTGACCATAATCTCCTTATCAAAGGGCTACTTGGCCACACCCTTGGTCTTCTCTCAATCATTACACAGTCAGGCTGTTGGTTTTGCAAATCTTTGCTTTCTGCTTCCCTTTTCATTAGGAATTCTGTCCTTAAGTCATTTCTTTTTTTCATAAACAATTATGCCACACAGCAGCCTGAATACTTTGCTTAGAAATTTCTTCTGCCAAATATTCTAGTTCATCTTTCTTTAAATCTGCCTTCTACAAAGTAGACCTAGGACATAGATATAATTCTGCCAAGTTCTTTGATACTTTGTTGCAAGGATGGCCTTTCTCCTTGTTTTCAATAAGATATTCCTCATTTCCATTTAAGACTTCATCAGAATGATCTTAACTGTTCATATTTCTACCAACATTCTGATCACAACCACTACAATAATATCTAAAAATGAGGCTACCGTGTTTCTCCTAAGCCCTTACCAGAATTGTTTCAAACAAATGCTGTCTACAGAATTCAAATTCTGCTACTCCTTTCTTTCCTTTTCTTTTCCTTCCTTCCTCTTTCTTTCACTCTTTTACTCCCTCCCTTCCTCTTTTTCTTTCTTTTTTCCTTCCTAGCATTCACTTCTAAACTGCTCTGCATTCTACCCATTACCTAGACCCAAAGCTGCTTTGGTTTTGGTACTTGTTATTGCAACACCCCACTCACCTGGGACCAATTTCTGTCTTAATTCATTTTGTACCACTATAACAGAATACCTGAAACTGAGCAATTTATAACAAACAGAAATTTATTACTCACAATTCTCAAGTCTGCAAGGTCAAGATCAAGATGCTGGTATCTGGCAAGGGCTGTCTGTTACCAAGATGGTTCACTGAATGCTGTCCTCTGGAGAGGAGGAATACTGTATCTCCACATGGCAGAGAGCAAAAAATGACCACACTCCCTCTATTAGGCCTTTTGTGATGGCATTAGTTCATGGTGGAGTTCTCATGATCTAAACACCTTCCAAAAGGTCACCCCTGTTGTTACCTTGGGGACTGAGTATCTAACACATGAATTTTGGGGGCACATTCAGACCACAGGAGCTTGGCTCCTAGACAGGGGGATGAATGGGTGACTAAACAATTCCTATGTCTCCCCAGCATCAGCCTAGGCCCGAGCACACAGGAAACACAAATCTGTAGCTGAGAGAATGTAAGCTTCGTAATGCTCTCTGAAATTTGTGTTGGAAATCTGTGAGCATACAGGATCTGTTGGAAAATAACTGATCTAATCATGACCTTATCAAACTTTAGGAAATGTCATCCACCAGGCTCAGGAACATTAAGTTTAATATTAGGTGAACCATATGAAATGGCCAATTATTTGGCAATTTCTTGTTACCTATGAAAATTAAATATGGACCAGTCTAAATCAAAGTCTGCTTATTGATTCATTTATTTTTGGTAACAGGGCATTGAACCACTGAGCCAGAACCCCAGCCCTTTTTATTTTTTGAGACAGAGTCTTGCTAGGTTGCTTAGGGCCTTGCTAAGTTGCTGAGGCTGGCTTTCAACTTGAGATCCTCCTTCCTCAGCCTCCAGAGCCACTGGGATTACAGGTATGTCCACGCCTAATGAAGCTTGTTTATTTTTAAGAAGAGAAAGAAAATAATAAAGCAATTCATTAAATCAAAACCCAATGGTCAGGCTGGGAATGGGCTCAAGTGGTAGCACGCTTGCCTAGCATGTGTGAGGCACTGGGTTCGATTCTCAGCACCACATAAAAATATATTGTGTCCACCTAAAACTAAAAATTAAAAAATAAAAAAAAAAAAAACCACCACCACCACCAACAAAAACCCCAATGATATTGTGAAAAACTGCAATCTAATGGTCAGGTAAGAATCCATCCTAAAAATATGTCACCCCCAAACAGGATAGCTTAAGGATAAGACATCTTTTCCTTTTAATCAAGAAAGAGGCAAAGGTTTAACAACCTTCTCTCACTGTATAAATTGTAGTGGGTTCATGAAATTTTTTAAGTACAAAAGGTGTTGTGACATCTAAATCTTATTGGGATATTATTTTTAGTGATTGGATGACTTAGAATGAAGACTCCTCAAGTCCTACTACTGAGTCCATTGTGCTTATTTATACATTGGTTTTATTGTCAGCAGTGGGCTAACTGGAGATCAACTTATGCCTAAAAGCATATTTAAAAAATAATAACAGCATCAAGGAGCAGGATTTTGTTGAATTTCTTTCTGGCCACTTTGTTTCTGTAAACAATTTTCAGCCATCTAGCACTGAGAGGATTCCTGAAGGTAATGTGCTAATCTTGGGCCACATTCATAAAAACAAAAAGCACAAAGAAATATTATTCTTGATTTACCTGCTCTGCTAATTTGGAACAAGGGTCCTATGAGAAAACCCTTTTAATCACTTTTAATCAACGCTTAACATCATTTGGGGGGGTTGAGATGTCAAGAAATTAGGGCATGCACTCTGTCTATAACACACTGCCCCTAAATATCCTTTTAGACATCTTAGACAATAGTCTGAAATGGCATCCAAGCTTATCAGCAAGCATTCTCCATTTAAGAGAAAATGGAGACACTTTTATGAGTGTGGTCAAAACATGACTATTCAATAAAATAGAAAATATCTAAGACTATTTTCATGAAATCTAGTGGCACAGCACATACTCATAAAACTGGGAAGCTGGTTGAAAACATGATGAAGTAAAAATCAGCATATTTGTGAGTTATGCAAATAAATGAAGCTCTGCCACCAGAAGCAATTCCTCCCAACAGGCATCAGCAAGTTCACCGAAGTAGGAAAAACCAAGTGGTAAAGGAATCACTTACCTCTAAATGCAACATGCCAGAGACCTTCACACATTAGAAACAGAGCTGGCTCAGCATTTCCCTAGAACAGAAGATGTGTCCAGTTTCCACCCCAGTTACGGATAATAGGTACTCTCTAATGCCATCATTGAATCAAGTGCTTGAAGGGACTTTGAGGACCCTGTGGGTGCTCTGGGTTGGGCAGCTGCTCCTGATTAAAAGCTGAATAGGCAGGCAGCACGAGCAGGGAGGAGGGGGTAGTGGGTGTCCATGAGACTTGATGCCTTTTATCATATAAATATGAATAATGCCTTTGTCAAAGTGTATCAAGAGAATTGAGGTACTTCATGTGGTTGGCCTATGTAGTAAGTTCCTAATGTGTATGTGCTCTCAACCTTCTGATTTCTGTTAAGCTGAATTTTACAATGTTAAAACTTCTCCCAATATGTGAGATTTCTATCCTTTGGGCTAAAAAGAACTCCTCATCCATTCAAATACAGGAAGGCAGGAATTTTATTAGCCTGGAGATTTCCCTCAACCATTCCTTTTAGATTTCACCCTCCATCCTTGGTCATTGTGAACCAACTACAAGATGGAGTTGGGACTAACTAGAGTTTGGCTAGCTGACTGCTCCGTCTACAACTCAATCTGCCTATCAGATAATGGAAGGGTAAAACCTTGTCTTTATGGTTAGGGTATGCGTGATGCCAAGGAGCGTCAAGGTAAAGAAATACAAGACGAGGTTATGGGTTTTTCTTTTCACTTTTATTCAAATAAATACAACACTTGTACATAGCTAGTGTACCTGGATTTCCAGATGTGCAGTGCTGTGGTCAAAACATGACTATTCAATAATTTGAAACAAGTACTTTGGACACACAGGCAAATAGCTGTTTTTTTTGGTCAAAAAACGACACGAAAAAAAGCGCTGTGGTGTCACTTGCCCACTGAGGTTGATGGAGGCAAGGACAAGCATTTTTTTGGTAAAAATCTTATTTTTATAATGTAACTCTGGATAAAATGCGATTGCTTCCTTTCCTTCTTTCCAAGGGTAGGCACTTGCAACATGGGACATTTCAGGAGTGGGCAAGCCGGTTTGTCAATGGCTGTTGAATTTGATTTCCTAAGAAAATTCAAACAGTATGGAAGAAGACCACAGCTAGCCTTTGCCATTGGAGTTAGTGAGACTGATAATAACTAAAATATTTTCTGATGTGCTAGACCCATAATTCAGAAATGAAGGAGCTAGAGAAATTTCATTCATTTTAAATTAGTCTTGCTTCCCCTGAAATTCCATCTTGAAAATTAAGTAGTAGATTCTTTAGTTTGAAATTGGTCTGATTAATATGACTTTTGCTCAAAAAATTAACATCCTTTCCATGGCTTGGCCTTTTCTACTCCCATATATTAATTTAATTTAAATAAAAATTATGGCTTTAAGTGCTGATTGATAGTTTGGCCTATAAGACATGAGTTTGGGCAGTCACCCTTTCTTATCTGAAGCCAGTTAGGGTGAATGCAACCTGGGATCAAATTCAATTTCAAAACGGTAATTCTCATAGTAAAAAAGCGGCCAAAGACAGAGGCCTGAGACAAGTGGGCCTGTGAAAGCCACACACCATTTGGGAGTGTGGGGCCTGTGCTGGGCCATTGTCTGTGTGGATGGGGTATTAGCACAAGCAGGCCGGCCCAGCCCTGACCGCTTCTGGCTCTGAGTCGCCTTTGCAGAGAGGTTGTTGGAACTGGAGAGAGCAGGGCTGGCATGGAGCCCTGCCCCAGCACGACTGTGCTTTCTGTGGAGTCCCTAGGAGGACAAAGGCAAGTCCTACTCCTTAGAAACTTCCCACACTGCCCACTCTGATCCCACTTCCTCTGTGAAGTGTAATTTGGCTCAGCAGGAACTCAGGGAGTGGGAATAAGGCCTGGTGTGTTGAGAATTGCTCCTGCTTCCTGCGACGGCCAAGGCTGAGAGGTTATTTGGGAGCCCAACAAAGGGCAAGCCCACTTTCTACAAGTAAAAAAATCACAGTCACTTCACAGTCTATCCACTAAAGTAAAACTAAATTGCTTTGAAAAATAATACACTTTGAAACTCTTTGACACATTTATAAAAAGAAAAACCAGGAAATTTCAAACAAAGTTTTAAAAAGTCCTTTAAAAATGTATTAATAGCCTCCTTAGTAACAAATATAAAACAGTTTAAGACACTTGGTGACTTTTCTTAGGTCATGTGTCCAGGGTGATGCATACACAGTGAGGTTTTATGACTAAAATTATCTATATGGTAAAATTTCTAGGAAAAGTTCCATCAGGAAAATAAATGTTTTGGAAAGAGGAGTTACTTTTTCCCAAAATGTCAAAAAGAATTAAGGATGTAAACACACATACTTAAAATGTTAACACAACAATATCAATTCAGCCAAATAAATAAAAGAAGGTGGCACCGACTTTATGGCAATTTTTCAAGACTAAGATGTAGCTCAAGGATATTTTAAAATAAATAATTGCTCCAAATAAGAATAATCATTCTTAGCACAAGCCAACAACATTCAAAATAAAGTGCTATGAGAAAAACTTCAGCTTATTCACATATGAACAGAAATGCTATCTTGATCTTTAGATCTAAAATATTCATCATGAGAAAAAATTCAGCTTCACAGGAGGCCTGGGTTGGTGCTGTCCTTTGCCATTTTTCTTTTTTCTTCCAAAATGTGCTTAAATATTTTCCTCAGAGTGTTGTAAACTATTGGTCCATTTTCAGAATCAAAATTAACCTGGTGGCAAAGAAAATTTCTATTCAGTCACTACAACATAAACAATTTGGGGAGAAAAAATGGGGTAGAAAAATATTAACACTATATAAACAAAATTGTATATATTTTTTAAAAAATACACATAATAAATTTCACATTTTAATTGATAGACTATATTAGAACTGTGTTAATTGTGTCAATACCAAACTATGAGTGAAAACTCAAAAATTAATCTCGTGCCTGGATATTTGTTTAATCACATACACCAAAGTCATGAAGAAACCAGTGAATGTGAAGTGCATTTTTAATTTAGAGCTAATTGCTGATGCTGTAAGGAAGTCTCCTCTACTAAACAAAGCACATCAGTGGTAAGTGTGTGCTCCGAGGCCCTATAGCCACTATGGACGAGAGTCAGGGTGACCTCAGTGTAGCTCTCCACCTGCCAGCTATGTAGCCCCATTCATACCGAACTTCTCGGGGCTTCAATTTCCTCCTCCACAAAATAGAGACCAAAATACCCCATGTCTTAGGATTTTTGTGAGAATAAGTGAAACGTGGTACCTGTGAGTATCTAGTATGTATTCTGTACATATAAAAACCTCAGAAAGAGTTAGTTTTCTTTCTCCTTGCTAGGAAGCAACTATGTAAACATTCTTGGATTCTTTGCCAAGATTTACCATATTTTGGATTAAGAAAAAAACCCAAAGATGAGGATGTAGGAATGATGGAAGGGCTGAGAACCAGAGCAAGGGCCCCTGTACCATTCTCAAAGTAATGTGTGATCCACAGAGAGTTAGGATTTCAGGCTCATAGATTCTCTCCTTCTGGAATCACTTCTCAGATAAATTCTACAACTGCAGAGGATCTATCCTACTTGCCTGCCAGTCATGGACATGGGCAGAAGAAGTGAAGCTTAAAAGAATTCCTCCTGCTTTCTGAAAGGCCACTATAGTATCTATCCTATTTGCAAAAATTCCTTATGAGCACTAATGACAGTTTAACTTGTTTACTTTCTTCAACATCAAACTATAACCCTTTTCCCACGAATGGGCAGATCTTCTGGCTACCAAAGTGCACACGGATGTAAAGGACCACGTGAGTTGCGGAAAACAGACTGCAAGTATGTTGAGTGCTTAGTGCCATAAAACTCCGAGAAGGAACAAGGGAGCCAGCAACAAGGATATCACTTTAGAAAGAGCTGAAGGGAAGGCAATTGGACAAATATTAAAAATGAAGAATGTGGGCTGGGGATGTGGCTCAAGTGGTAGCATACTCACCTGGCATGCTTGGGGTGCTGGGTTCGATCCTCAGCACCACATAAAAATAAAAAATAAGGATGTTGTGTCCACTGAAAACTAAAAAATAAATATTAAAAAATCTCTCTCTCTCTCTCTCTTTAAAAAAAAATGAAGAATGTTCACAATGTATGAATGAGTACAAGTAGTAAGTGCTCGTATCATCAATGCTTACCACAGATGTTATCATTCAAAAGCTGAGTTTTCTGTTTAATGACATTTTCATACCATATGTGACAGATAACAAACAAATTATGCAAAGGGGCGAGGGTACTGTTCTCTCGTGGCATGAACCTGGCTGCAAGCCAAAAGGATGTACACAGAAAGGAAATATTTTTTTTGAATCTTAGCTTAGGATTTGCCAATCAGGACATAGTACTGAATCAGGTATGTTGATGTTTAATTCTCAATAGATGGTTTCTTGTTTAAACCCAAGGTAGAACTGGCTCAACAAGAAAAAGTTCTCTGACTCCTAATAGGCACATGACTTAAAAATACTTAATGCCCGATTGTTTCTCCTTTCTTCTATATAAAAGCTCTTTGTTCCAATAATCTCTTTCAAAAAAGCCCCAGTTAGCTTTTCCTAATATCATTGAAAACTTTAATTTTTTTGGCTCCAACTCTGTAACTACTTATAGAAATGCCAAACACATTTCCATTAAGGGGAAACACAGCTAGACAGTTTATATTAGAGGAGGAAGGTGACTTCTGGATTCCTAATCTACAAAGATGATGCTGATTTGTAGTGTGGAAAAGGGGTGGGAAGAGTTGGACTCACCTTAGTGAAAGCCTTAATGGCATGGGCAAGGCAAGCTTCCTCCACTTCCATGGGAATTGTCTGCAGGTTCACTAGACAATGCAACACGCAAAGGATAGTCTGGTGCTGTCCCTGCATTTGCAGAAATTGAAAACAAAAAGTTGTTTGAAAAATGCTGCAAACAGGAGGATTGTGAGTTTAAAGCCAGCCTCTCTAACTTAGCGAGGCTCTAAGCAACTTAGAGAGACCCTGTCTCATAAGATATTTAAAAAAGGGCTAGGGATGTAGCTCAGTGTTTGAGAGCCCTGGGTTCAATCCCTGGTACCAAAGGAAAAAAAAAAGCCTCAACAAGTCAACTCAAAAAACAATCATAAAGTGAGCAATTGGTTTGTGACCCAACAATCAATCTCAAGTGATTAACTAAGTATCTACCAGGAGGGGCTGGAGTTGTGGCTCAGTGGTAGTGTGCTCACCTAGCATGTGCGAGGCCCTGGGTTCGATCCTCAATTCAATTCTCAAAAATAAAATAAAGGTATTTTGTCCAACTACAACTAAAAAAAAAGGGCAAAATACAAAAAAAAAAAAAAAAGCATCTACCAAGTATTTACTGTTATGTATTAATATAATCTGAAAACCTTTCAGGGTACGTTAGCAAAGCTAGTTAGCTACTGTACAAAAGTACAACTGAAGATCAGTGCAGAAAACAAATGTTTCTCCTGCAGTGTACTGAATAGATTTTTTTCCTTCCTGCTGTTTCTGGATACAATCATTTCGGTTTGGCTAGTAGATGCTGACACATCATGGTGACCTGTGCACTAATCAGTTGGCACCAGGCAATTAGTACCTGTGTGTCCAGCCTGTTGCAGATGCTTCAGGAAGAGGTTGGCAGATGCAGAAAGTGAGAGGCCAGCCCCTTGAAGCCGTACTTAGGGAGACAGCCCCCAGCCTGAGGAGGTGAGACTTATAAGGATGGGTCCATTGACTTGACAGCTGGGAGATGTTCCATCACCTGAACAATACATATCCAAGTAGTAACCCACCAATTTCAACTTCTAGAAATCTAAGAGCAAAATATGAAATACAGAAAAACCTGCAAACAGAAATTATCAATTCAGTGATACTTATGAAATAAAGAACCTGAAAGAATGTAAATGTTCTACACAGGAGCTGGGTGAATTATGATAAAACAGGTGTGACAGAGCTTGACTGGCAGAGCTTGCATGGGTTTGTGCCAAGGAGACCTGAGTCTGAATCCTGCTGTGACACCTGCCAGGATCCTTAGCAAGCTGCTCCACCTTGCCTTGTTTGTAAGGGGAGTCCTCTATCTCCAAGCACTATCAAGATGAACAGAAGAGCCAAGACAATGACATCCTGAAGGGCTTGGCCCACAGCTGCCCCACAAAGGTTCATCTCCTGTCTCCCTCTCCTGTTTTATCTCTGAAATTTAACTACTGGAAAAAAAAAAAAAGGAACAAACAAACAAACAAACAAAAATACCCTAAGAAAAGGACTCCAGATACAGGAAAAATCTTTTCTTAAAAGATTTGCATCACACAACTGTGTGCTGTCTCTGTGTGCATGCATGTTTGTGAGGGTACCTCTGTGTGTGTGTAGATTTGGAAACAATGAGACATTCTGAAAACAATGAGACATTGCACCAAAAGTAACTCAAGGTTGTTATGGGATAACATTGTTTTCTGAAACAAAAACTTATTTTTAACAGTATCTTTATATTGTTTAAAATACTAAATTGTATGAAAGTATTGTAAATGAAAAGTTTCCCTTCCTTCCCAGATCCACTGTCCCCTAGTGTCCTTCCCTGAATGCAACCACTACAACTAGTTTCTTTTCATTCTACATTCTTCTACATTTTATAATATATAAATTATATATATATATATATATATATATATATATATATATATGCATATGTGTGAATATATATATATAACACCCCTTTTTAAAAATACAAAGGGGTGTATATTCCAACCTACTTCATAGTTTTCACATATACATGTTCATACTACATAAGTCAAAACAGATGCCCAGCTGTGAAAAGGGGGTTAATGACATATCCCTGATTGAGAACCCCACACATCCACTGCAGCCAATTTTTATGAGAAGCTTATACTACTTGTATACTTTTAAGCAAAAATTAAATATAAAATTGTATGTTAAAATAATTTTTATTGTGGGCTGGGGTTGTAGCTCAATGGTAGAACGCTTGCCTAGCATGTGTGAGGTACTGGGTTCAATTCTTAGCACCGCATATAAATAACTAAAAAATAACGGTCCATTGATAGCCAAAAAATATTTTTTAAAATTTTTATTAAATCAAAATAAGTATGATAAAAGATTTGAAAATATTTAATGACTCTTCTAGGATTATGGACATTTTTCCATTTTATTTTTTTGTATTTTCTAAACATTTATGCTATAGATTAATTTTTTCTCTCTCTCTCTTTTTTTGCAGTGCTAGGGCTGAAACCCAGGACCTTGCACACACTAGGCAAGCACTGAGCTACATCCTCAGTCTTCAGTTTCTTCTCTTACCTTAGAACAACTATTAATTTAGACCTAGCTATGAGATTTTATATGAGTTCGCCTTTTGTAATGGATTTTTTTAGCCTGTGAAACTCATTAGCTGGTCCAGCAGCGACTTTACCTTCTCTAATAAGAACAGGGCTTCGGCAGCATCTGCTTGTCTGTCAACCAACATGTCCACATCCTCTTTGGTGATTACAGGCTCCTTTAGTTGCTCCACCCAAGACCACATCAAACCACATAGGATGAAAGGATCTCTCTCACCACATATTCTTTCCCAAGCTCCATCTCGGGAATTTAGTTCTTTCTAAAAAGGAAGAGAAAGAAAGATAGAGACAGACACAGAGACAAGGAAGAAAGGTGCGTGGGCTGACATGGATGCACAGGCTGCTCAGGAGAGTAAAGGCTCAGGCTCTGGGGTGCGATCTAGGATCACCCCCCGGCCCCTACACATCCAGGTGGAGGCACTGAGGTAACTTAGGGAACTTCTTGAAGCCTCAGTCTCTCTCTGTGGAGGTCACAGCCTGCCTCATACGTGCTGGGGCTGACCACACAGGCAGTTCAGGAAGACGGAGCCTTCCTTTTCATATGAACAAAACAGAGTACTGATTGCAAGGAAGCAGAATGGTAGATGAAAAAGAAAAAATAAGGGGCCATTTGAAAATTAACCCGGGATCTCAGGCAAAGCTTTTGCTTAAGACTTCAGAGTGAATGCAAGTTGGTTAAGTGTGAAATATGTATTTAGTTTTAGAATTCTATGTAAAATTTACCAAACAACAAGCTATGCATCCTGGAGTTTTCTACAGTGAATATAAACTAGGCAGCCCTGCTAATACTACAAATACCTGGAGACAACTTGAGCTTGAGATTTTAAAACTTGACCTCACAGAGGGCTGGGTAAAAGTGAAATAGAATTTGAACTAATTTCTGATGGGGATCACACTTATGTTTTAGTAAATCAAATGTAGTTTTGCAGTAATAGTGTTAATAATTTACCCATTTTCACCCATCTGATATTTGCAGCCTACTAACTATGAACATGAACCATAATACTTGACTTATCTCTGATTTTCACAGCAATTCCACAGGGAGGCTACTCACAGATACAAGTAAGAGATGAAGGAACTTGCCTGGGAGCTGCAAAGCTGGAAGATGGTAGAGGAGGTGTTCCACCTCATCTGCCTCACTCCAGCTGTGCCTGCTGTGCCACAGAGACTCTCCGGTACTGGGTTTTTCTTTATTATCTTTTAAATAAACCAATACATTTAGTTGTCTGCATTCCTTGCCATCCCACAGATCATGTATATAACAGTAGCTTTTGATTCAGTTTTATGCAGCTCATGAGGAAACAAGCTGGACAGAACTGATTCTACCCACGAGCCTTCTCAGGGAAATGATTACTTTACCAGCCTCCCACAGGCTTTCCGGTAGGGGGAGGAAGACATAAGGATATAATGGAAAATATTACACACGTGGCTGCACCCATCATCACTCTCTGTTCTCAAGCCATACAACTTTGAGCAAGTCACTTAACCTCTATGACCCCTAATTTCCTCACCTGTGACACTGAATTCATAAGATTAACAAGGAATCTATAAATAATATCATTTGCCTCATAGGATTTATGTGAAAATCACATGCACTAATATACATGAAATGGCCTATTATAGGCACAGGTAGCAGTATACTATTCAAATAATGTTTCTTTTTTCCAGAATGTAACTAATTTTTTTAAATTACGGAAAGACCCAAAATAAAGTCTAAAAAGGAAAAAAGATGGGGGAGGGGAATTATCTCAAAGGTTTATGTTCACCTCTAGAAAATGCTTTTTGTACATATTACTTGCTGAAATAGTCTGCCCAAACCAAGTCCTGACCTCATCAGTACAGGTGTAGCTCACACGGGCATTTGGCCCCCCAGTGGTGGGGGCGCCACATTCTTTACCTAAAATGGAAGACTCTCTTGCTTATTAACTCTTGACACAGTAACACACGTAAGCAGGAAATGCTTACGGATTGAATGGAAGAGTTTTTCAGTTTGCAGTATAAAATAAAGAAAACAATTCATCTTGGAAGAAAATAATACATTTAACTATTTGTTAGGCAAAGATGAAATTTTATCAAAATTCTCTCCCCTCACATAGCTTCAAAATTAATTTTCATGCCTCTGCATCTGAAGAGATACTAGAACTCGTAGAAATTTACATGTTTTCTTTAATTAATATTGTAATAAGACAAGGAATTGGGGTTTTGGCCTAGCATGTACGAGGCCCTGGGTTCAATCCTCAGTACCACATAAAAATAAACAAATAAATAAATAAAAGGTCTTGTGTCCAACTACAACTAAAAAGTAATTTTTTTTTAAATAGGAAGAGTAATTATTAAAGTAGATTATGGGCTGATAAGTCAAGATTTTCACTGGTCAGGAGTCTCAAGTCAGTTCCATGTTGGGGCGGTTTGCCTGTTTCTGATAACTGGGTTTATAATGCCCATCTTTTCTTTAGACCAGGCCTTGAATCATTTAGGGCAAAGAGTGCAGCCAACTTAAGACTTTCTAGTGAAAGTATAATACAAAGGGGAATTAAAATTAAAATTTCACATTCTAATTTACATAAAAGTCAAGAAAGGGACCTCAAAGTCCTCCTTTCAGATAAAACTAACAGCATCGCGGTGGTCTGTGGTCATTCCTGTTTGCTCTCCTGAATGCTGGCCTCACGTGCTGGAGAGGGATCAGCAAGTCTGAAGCAGAAGAGGCCACGCGGGCAGGCTTAATCAACCCTAGTGCCAATGAGATTTGGGAAATTATTTATGTCTCTAGGTCAGTGGTTTTCAATGTGGCTCTCTGCCAGGCCTCAGGTTAGAGATATTTCGGTTTAGTTCCTAATGCCATCTTCTTAAGGCTGGCTGTTTCCACAAACCCAGTGAGAAGGAAGCTAGCAGCATCAGTGCCTTGGGTGGACTAAATACCTTCATGCACAGAGATTTAAATGAAACCCCACAACCACCCTGTCACTTTTATCATGTCAGATCTGGGAAACCTAAAGTTCAAAAGTTAAGTATAATATAAACATATCTCCACATTTTTATAACAAATAAATTTGCAACAATGTATTATATTTTTGCTTTGACATAACTATTTCCTGAGCATATATAATTAAATGAAATTCAAATACCTGCCACATTTCTACCTTCCTTTTCACTTCCTCCTTTTCTACAAACTCATTTAAATTTGCCAGGGCTTTGGCTGCCAGTATCCTCCTTGCGTCAACACTCAGTTCAGATGGCAAGTCAGCACGTGGCACTGCTTCAGATAGACCTTTGCTGTCCTGGGTTTCAACCAACAACTGTGTCTTGGGACTGAAGCCACAGTCTGGAGGGCTGCAGCAAGTCCTGCCCTCCTCCTCCACAGAGCCGGGGCCCCACCCACTGTGTGGTTCACGACAGTGGGCCACTCGCTGATGAGAAGGATTTACATCCTGATGGGCATTTGCAAGGTTGGGTGTAACTGGTTCCCCAGGGTTGCGGGAGCCTGAAATACCCACAGAGAAGGTTCGACTTCGCTGGATTTCCTTTGGAATGTCTCTCCTACAGAAAAGCGGTGATTCATTATCCTTGGGTCCTTCCAAACTCCCACACTTGGAGTGATTCCAGAAAGAAAACGTGTTGCGAACCAGTGCCTCCTTCTGCAGCTCTAGCTCTGGAGATGGTGGGACATAATGGTGTCTGGCGGGCTTCTGCTGCTGGAGGGTGTGGCCCAGCAGGTCCTGCGCAGGCACGGTCCATGGAGTCTCCCCTTGCTCCAGGAGAGCTTCGGCCCTCTTTAAGTCGGAGTCACTATAGCTGAGTCGCCTTTTCAGATGATTCAGCGGCTGAAGGCACTCGGCATTCCGCCTCTTCCAAAGGGGGTCAAACTCCTGATCGGTGGAAAGAATCACATCCTGATTCTCAAACTCTGCCACCACTGCAGTAGGGTTAAATGCGTCTGAGGCATCACTGCTGTGCCTCAGTAACTCTTTATCCAGCCTCATTGTGACCATCTCAGACACAGTCTTCTCAATTTCAGCAGAGAGTCCAGGTCCTTCCAACGTGTCCTTCATCACCACTGGCCTGTTTTCAGCCAAGTCCAGCAGCAGTTTGCAGACCAGGTGGATGATTTTTGGCACATGTTTCAGAAGTCGTGCCTCATAACCATGAAGCAGGTGACGCTGGCGAATTAGGTACTGGGCTAATGTGACAGCATGTGCTTTGGGATCGCAGCAAGAGAAGATACTGCGGAGAGGAGTCAGAAACTGAGTAAATTCCCGCACACACAGCAGTTGTCCTCTGGTTTGTATGGAATTGGGTCGCTTTGCCCGCACAAATATAATTGCTTGGTCAGCAGTCATTCTTGTTGCAAAAACTAAATAACATGCTATTAAAACACCTAAATAGTGAAAAAGGGAAGATTGGTATTAGAAAAGTTTATAGTTTCATTTATTTTATTTATCCCTCTTTGAAGATTTAAAACTTGAATACATATTATGAAGTCACATGAACACAGGCACATCTGATGGGAAATTACCAGGATAACTTTGAAACTTTGTGTACAGGCATTTATTGTGCTTCTCTTATTGAATAAACTTTATTTACCTGTCTGTGTGGTTGTCCCTCCCTGTGATGAGTCACCTGCAAACCCCAAGGATGGGTGAGCACAGAGCTGGCAGGTGAAGAAGCACGGAGCGGGAAAGGCATGGCTGAGCGAGCTGGGATCTGGCCTGTCCGCCATCCTTCTGCCCAACTCCAACACACAATAAAGCAAGTCCTGCTTTGTTTTCCACTCTGAAAAGCTCTGTCCATCCAACCACTTGGTACCTGAACCCCTACCATCTTTGCCATCAGTCACCAGAATGCTCCACCAGAGTGCTCTCCTTATTCGGATATCTCTTTGGAGATTATACACCTCCACTGCCTACTTTTCTTCCTGACAATCTTTCTTCCAAACTATGTCTATACTAATCTGTGTTTTTCTCCAGACCATGATATAACTGTTTTTTTATAAGCCAGCTTTGCCAATGTACATATTATGGATCTAATTAAGATGAGTAACTAATGAAAAGGTAATTATCAATCATTTTAAATATAATAACTAATAATTCAGTAAAAGGCAAATCAAAGATACCTATGAAATTTACAAGTTCGTGAACTTTTTTTTAACATAGGAAACCAACCTCTGAAAGCTGCTTGCTTCCTGGTTTAAAGTAAGGTACAATGTATCTTTTTCACTGAGACACTGGCAGATCTTTAGTGCAAGGATAAACTATCTGGAGAGCTATCCGGTGCAATGTCTAGGGACGCTGACATATCAGCTTGACCCTAAGACCTAACCATCTTGATCAGAACAGAGTCCTACCTCTCAGGGTACTCTAGGCAGATGGGAAATCCCCGAACAGATGTATGGTACTCTGTGGACGGAACTGAGCTGCAGGTGGTTTGATCAGACTGAGCCATGTGACAATGAAGATATCAACCCAAGGCCTTTATTGCTGCCCTCAGACCAGCAATATAACAGATTCTACTGAATTTTTAAATAAAATCACTAATGTCTATACAGAATTCTATGTAAAAAATTGACTCTTTTTTTAAAACACATCCTTACACCTCTAAAAGCAGAGAGCACATGACTCTGGAGTAAGCAGTCATAGATGCAAACGCTAAAGCAGCAAACTGCTTAACTTTTCTGAAACTGCAGTTTCTTCTGCTTATACTGTTGATAAAAGTTTAAAAGAAAGCAAATATAAAACTCTTAGAAAGTAGTAGGTGAAACAATACTTGCTATTTTCATTATTGGTTAAGAAAAATCTATAGATAAAAAAGACATTATGTATCAAAATGTGTCGTTATTCTTTAAAAGAAAACAGAGGGGGCATGTAAGTAATCTTAGAAGTCTGTTCAAATATGCTAGGTTTTCAGCTCTAAGTCATTCAGAAAATATTCTTACCAATGTGTGGTTATTGTAACCACCCGTTTAAGATCGGGGCTGAGGATGTGGCTCAATGGTAGCGCGCTCGCCTGGCATGCGCGGGGCACTGGGTTTGATCCTCAGCACCACATAAAAATAAAAAAAGATGTTGTGTCCGCTGAGAGCTAAAAAATAAATATTGAAAAATTGTCTCTCTTTAAAAAAAAAAGATATTGTGAATATATTTTATTCACGTTTTCCATTTCACACCAAAGCTTTGATAGGATTCTAAAAAATATTTATTTTTTTAAATAAATAGGAAATCTTATTCCTTATATATTTAAATGCCTACAAGATAATAAAACCACCCCCTAGAATTTACCTGTTCGGCCAAGCCCTGCGTGACAATGAATGGCTACTTTTCCTTCCTGTAAGGCAAACGTCATCACCTTCACCATATCTAAGATGGTGGTGAGAGATGCTACACCGTAATCCTTCCATCCAAAATTGTAGAAATAAACTGGGCAATGGAAAAGAGAAAGGCAAAACAAATTAACATAAAGAAAAAAATACTTGCAAAAACATTTGAAGAAAATGAATGAATCATGGAAAGTATACAGCTATAAAGCACATAGATTTCACTAGACTTACAGGCCCCTTTACATTTCCAGTTAAATTTGTTAACCTCTCTCACATTCTGTATCACTTAAGACATTTCTTGCCGACACTCAGCCATTAAGAATTAAGAAAAAGTAGAATTACAAATTAATAAAATCTATGACCCCCCAGTGGAGGTAAAGCATTCATTCCTGTCTAAACACAGAAATGTCCGTATCTAAATGACTGATAAATGACTAAAGATAGTGTATTTAGGTTTTCTACCCAGAATTTTAAAAGCTAGACACACACATCTTAAAAACAAGTTCTAAGATTGCACGTTTTTCCAGTTCAACATGGTTTAAATAACATGCACTGAATGGATTCTATCTCAAAGTTCCTGTGACTGAGGAGCCTCTGTGATTGCCACAAGAATATCCTTCTGGAGGCAGGGCTGGCAGCAGTAAAATTAGGAACATGTCCAGCTTCTAATACTTATTGCCATTTCTAAGCTGTGTGATATCGGGTAAATCAGTAACCTTCCAGGCCTCTGTGGACTCTAGTATGAAACAGAGATAACAACTGTATTACGCAACTCTAAGTCGTTCTGTGAGGATGATGGACATGCTGCAGGCATCAGCTGAATGGAAGCCTTATCCTGCAGGGTGTCCTCCCAACGTCCCTCTCCCAGAAAAAAGAAACCCTGTATTGCAAAATAATCCCAAAGAATGAAAGCATCATTTAGGGTCAATGTTAGCCCATCTTCATCTTCTATGAGCCCTGCTACAATGCCGTGTTTATTTCTATCACCTTTTAAGAGCCTAGCCAACAAAGTCTCAGAGTGCTGGTCCTGCAAATTCACAGAGAGGAAGGTAGGAAGGAACTTACTGCCAGCCTCCATGAACGTCTCAGGAAGGTATGTGAAGCCACTTTCTTGTTCCAGAGAGTTCCCACAGCTAGCATGCTCACCAGGGCGCTGCAGGTTGATTATTGTTTTTATGCCATGACTTAAAGAAAAAAGCAATTAGTCATACTGTGAGCTGGAGCTTTTAAAAAAAAATCATCTCTGGCATTAATAAACATTAATTGCTTCTCAAACTTTTAACTTCTTTTAAAAGAAGCTCTTCAGTGCCTATTTTTAAAACAAAAGCACTTTTTTACTTGAAGGCACATACAACAAGTGAATCTTCGCACTCAGCACGTGAGAGACACAGACTCACCTGAGGAACTGCTCGATGATGTGGTACTTCTCGAGAAGCTCAGATGACGGGCGAGCCATGGCCAGGATACTGTCAGTGATCCTGCAGACAGGGGAGGAAATGGTGCACAGAACCCAGAATGTCAACCTCAAAGGACTGAGATATGGTTCTTTTCCTACGATTTCTGAAACCTGTAAGAATATTCTTATACAAATCTGGCATTGCACTTCCCAGAAAAAAATTCAGGACATAAAGTATTTATGAACTCTAACAAAGTATCTCCAAGAACTCTCGAAAGATTCCAGTGGCATGATGGAGAAACCTCAGCTAATGGCAAAGGTAACAGTCTTGATTAGCTACCCCATGGTTAGTGACTAAATGAGGAGGGCCAACCAGGAGGCACTTCTGCACTCCAGTAACTAAACCTCAGTTAACTAAGGTATTAAGTGGGGAGAATAATGTCTGCTTCGCAGGGTTGGTGTGAGAATTTGACATGATCTGGACACAAAGTCTTTAGCACAAATCCTAGCCTACGGTTATAAATAAATGCTGAGTTATTAATTCAGCAAAAATTATGGGTTCCAGTCAGTTAGGCCTGGCTTAAATGTTGCCTTTTCTACCATCTAGTTGTTAAGCAAGTTAATCTCTCTGGAACATCAATAAAATGGCACTAAAAACTCACAAGAGTTTTATGAAAACAAGTGCTAATAATTTGAAAGCATCCAGTGCAGTGCCTGGTTCATAGCCAAATGAATGTTTATGAATGAATGACTGGAAAGAAGCCCAATAAACAGCTATCACTCATGTCAGGTCTTTGGCTTTACTCTGTTCTGTTCAAAGTTCTCAGTAGCGGCCTGGTAAAGATATATAGTCTATAGTAAGCTGTGAGTCATATGAACCTCAGAGGAGTGACAGAGACATTAGATTACCAGGGAGGGATCCAAAAAGAGCTCCCCTATGGGAAAATGTGTAAGATTGAACACTGACCCCAAAGGTTTGGGATACCCCATATTTACTAGAACTTAGTAAAAAATGAGGGAGATGGAATGTGAAAACAGCAGAGGTGAAAAAGACTCACGTGGTTTAGTCAATAATAAAGCCCAAACTATATTACTACAAATTTACTTGGCTGACTATGGCTCAGGAATAACATTTTGCTTCATCATACATTAGCACGGCAGTGCTGGATCTGTATATTGGAGAACAAAAAAGACAGTGGACCCCAGACTAAGTCACTACAAATGTACCTGGCAAATCCAATAGGAAACTCTGCAGGGTACAAGTCCAATAAGCTGGTTAACAAATATCTAATTTATACATGAATTCTTGATGTATAAAGTAACTCATGATTAGAATTCTTTTTTTAATTTTTTTTTAGTTGTCAATGGACCTTTATTTATTGATACATGGTGCTTAGGATCGAACCCGGTGCTTCATACATGCTAGGCAAGTGCTCTGCCACTGAGCCACCCCAGCCCTAGAATTCTTTTAATTCTTTTAATTTCCCTAAGCATGTTTCAAATGTGATTTGCTTATTCTAATTTCAGATGTCACTATATCAAAAAAGGTATACCTGACTAGTTTATTGTTACTTCATAAAAAGGCAGTATGATTCAAGAATGATATTAATTGCACTTACACATCAGAAACAATGCAAGCATCTTAGGCCGTCTACCGAGCTGACAACTTCTGCCACTTTAATAAGGCAGACTAAAGAGTATTTGTGTGAAAATATGTCCTTTCACACGGAATATAAGAACAAAATAAAAGTAAGGCTAAAACTTACCTGTATAAAACTGAAGAACTACATGTGTACCTCAAAATTTTCTCAAATTTACAGCTGAATGTTTTTATTATTTCTAGTAATTTCTGAAATTTAAGAGCTAATTATCCATTTATTTAAGATATGTTACATGCATCATTTCTCTTAATTAAAAAACAAACCCCTATGGCTTTGGCTTAACTGTTTCCATCTCATAGATGAGAAACTGAAGTCGAGCAGGCCAGGATCCGACAGTTGGTCTAGAAGCAAAGCCAGAGATGGTGGCGAGGTCCCCTAGGTTCAAAGCCCACACTGCCCCTTCCACTCCCCTGCCTGTCGGCTCACAGGCGTCCTCCTTCCTTTATCCTATACAGCTACTGAAGACCCACAGGATCACTTACCAGGACGAGTAAATACCCTTAATAGCTTGCTCCTGCTCACTCCAGCGGGCTGGATTCTCATACTTGCATGCTTTACCACCACATGCCATGGAACATGCCATGTGTCCAGGGATGACATGCCGTAAACGCTCTCCCACTTTTGTATATTTCGGTGTTGGACGTTCTGAATTTCCTAGAACATACGAGGAGGGAAGACTCAAAATCCCAGTCTCCAAATGGAACTGATAACAGGGGGAATAGTTCCTGTTTCATCTTAGCATCATAGATTAAGAGCTGGTGCTAAATCCCCTTCATCCAATATTAAAAAAGCTTTCCTATACACACATTAAACTGGTAATGAAGAGGAAGAAATTGTAAGAGCAGATCTTTTCAAGTGGATGCTTTGTTCAAAACTACATTTTTAATGGAAAAAACAGAAAACATTCAATCATTTTATCTCCTCTTACATACTCACTCAAATTATTAGCCTAACAGTAAAAAGTAAAATGTACAATTGTCAATATTTGAAAAGGCATAAATACAATAGTCTACTCAAATTCTTAAATTTAGATACAAAGGTGTAACAAACAAGAAAGACAGTTTTACTTTTCCTCTCTGGGAAAGTTGGTTTCTCTTCGGCTCGGCTGACAGAGGACACAGCCACCATCACCTGGAGAGAAGAGGAGGACAGCAGCTTTGTGGCAGAGCCAGAGCCACGGCGTGCCTGCTGCAGCCTCAGGACCGGGTCAGAAGTAGAGTGCCGGCGGCCCTGCAGAAAGGAGCTCAGGAAGTGCACGGCTGAGGGTCTCCGGGGCTCACCCTGCACCTGCATGGTGCTGGCTCCACAGGGGCAAGAGTTGGAGGCAGAGAGAAACCAGCCTTGGCTTGCTCAGGGAGGAAGTACACTGAGACACAGGCAACATTCTGTGTGATCTAAGAGCTATTCAGGATAGGCTGACTCGTTTCCATAGTAACCAACAAAGAAACTACTGATTCCCACTTAGATCTGAACAGGCAAAAATCTTACATGAACGGATTGCATTTTGGACAAACTGTTCAAATATAGGGAAGAATAAGATGCACTTTAAAGAGATTACCCCTCAATCTAGATTATTCTATTTTGTTTCTCAAATACACTTAAGGATCTGACTGCTCAGAGAATTACTCCCAAAATATTGTAATAAACTTAGAAAAATGTCTTTATGATGCAAACACTGCCTTTTACATACATTAAAAAGCTTAAATTCTATTATTCCTTTCTAGCCTTGTCTTGATATTTAAAGAAAAAAAAATCACTTCCAGCCTCTTTGAAACAGGGCACATAAAAAGTTAACTATAATAAAAAATATACTGAATACCTTACAACATTATTAAAGATTATTCCATTTTTCATACCCAAGTTCCCCTTGATATTTTCTTGATCTAATTATTTAAGAAACACTTGGCTAGAACAAATAAAGACATTTTTAGAGCTGGCACAGTATCAGAAGACATTTAATTTTACATTTTTATTTTCAGAACATGAAAACCCAATTCCTGGCTATGCGACTGTTGGATTATAACCATTAGCCATGGGTACAAGTATCTGAGCAGCCCCACCTCTCAAAAACAAGAACACAATTCTCTGCCTTTTGTTGCTATGGGGGAAAAGAAAGCTTCAATGTCCTAATGGAGGCCTACGACAAAAATTCCCTAAAGTATCACATTTTTTAAGGAACTAGATGAGGGGGAGGTTGCAATTTGAGGATAAAGGATATAAAGAAAACAGAAACTGCGACAACCCGCCAATGCACTCATTGTCCGCCTCTTCCCTTGTAAATGTCAGGCCGCGCCCGTGCTCACTCGCACTCTCCCTGGCTCACACTCGGCACAAACGCTATTTCAGCAGAGCATGAACGGAAACATAACTACGGCCACAGATAAGGCTCTTCTCTGCTTTAACAATCATTAGTGTCATGAGCAAGCTCCTTGACGAAGGCCACCTTCATTCTCCAAGAGTATGTACTTATGTCAAATAAGACAGAGCCACAGAAGTCCAATTTGGCATGTAGTACTGTGCCCTTGTTATTTAGTGTGCAACAACGGAAAAGGCCTCTCTGTCACCAATCCAGAAAGCACAGCTTCTCTGTCTGTAGAAATGGCCTGAGGAATATTCTAGGCAATGCCCTCATGACCCTTAGGACAAGGGACATAGAAGTCCCACAGCACAGAGATCTGCATGAGCAGAAAGCATAGAAGATATGACAAGGAAAACAAGGTGGCACCTAATGGCAGGACTGTTAATGCTCCAACTAGGGAGTTGCGTGTTTGCTGCCTGGATGACAGGGAGTCCGAAAAGGTTTCTGGGTAGGGCTCTGTGCTCCTGAGTAGGTGACACTTGAGAGCCCAGCAGGTGAAAGGTAGGAAGCCTGCACTGTGGCCTGGTGAGGTCAATGGCTGTGGGGATGGGTCTGTCAGGGTGGACTGTGATGGTGATGGAGGTGATGGTGGCGCCCCAGCTCAAGTGACCAGTGAGATCTTTCAGGCAGTTCACGTGGCGCCCATGCACTGAGGGCTAGACAGGGGTAAGCTCCACTAGAGGGGTGCAGGCATCTAGGCAACAAGGAGGAGTGTCGATGAGTGACACTTAGAGATCTGGCATTGAAGGACATCTACAGAGAAAGTCAAAAGTGATTCTGCCCCCAAGTGTACTGAAAATAAAAATTCATTTGATGAGGTGCAGGACTTACTCGGACTTCAACTAAGGAAGGTATGGTTTATATATGAATAATTTCTGCTGTAAAATCTTGAAAACTGGGCTGACCTCAACCCCGGGCTAACTGAGCTGACTCAAGGTATTACAGGCAGTAACCCTGAGTCAGGGGCTGAGAAGTGGAGCCTAATACAAAGAGGGTCTGCCAGGTGAGAGCAACCTCTCAGCACTGGGAATACAACCTGCACCTACCTGGCAGACGAAGTGGAACCTTGTCCACCTCTGGTCATGAGAGGTGGGCACATAAACCTTCGCTTGGCCACTTGTCTAAAGGGCTGCTTCAGGACTATTTCTTGGCAAAATCCCCAATTCACAGCACGATCCATTGTTTTAAAATGAATTTTATTTATGCCACACAAAGCTTTACAACAGAGAAGCAGACCTTCAGGGTACCCATCTGGTTTCCCTTTCCCAATTTTTCCATATACTGTATAGATTCTCTTCATATTTGTAATCACATTGTGCATACGCCTTTCCAGTCAGTGTAGGAGCATCTTCCCATATTGCTTTCTCTTCCTTCAGATTTTTATTTAATGGAATCACAGAGATTAGGACACATTAATTTGATACATCATAGTTTACCTAGTTATTCCTTGGCTATTGGACATTTAGGCTATTATCAATGATTTTTATATAAAAATAAGACTAATATTAAATTATTCAAGACTAGAATCTATGTTTCTCCTTTAGTAAATTCCTGGGGATGAGATGATAGGTAAAAATAATTAATTTCCAAAGCTCATGCTTTTACTTAGTTGAGTCTTTCTTCACATCTTGATATTTAAACCTGGTGCCAGGGATTGAACCCAGGGCCTGGCCCATGTTAGGGAAGCTCTCTACCACTGAGCTACATCCCCAGCCCTTTTAAAAATGTTTTATTTTCAGACAGGGTTTCGCAAAGTTGCCCAGGCTGGCTTTGAACTTGTGATCCTCCTGCCTCAGCCTCCTGAGCAGCTGGGATTACAGGCATTGCCACCATGCCTGGGTTTTAAGAAGCATGTACGAAGAAGCAGAAAAGGAACATTTTTGGTAACTCAACAGAGACTCCCCCCCTCACTGGGGTCAGAGAGAAAAACAGCATGAAAATAAGGATTAAAGGACACTATACTACATCTGATAAGTTTTTGTCTTAATATCCTTTGTCCCAGAACTCTCACCACCTCTATCACTTCCTGCTGTCTAAGCACACATTTTTTATTCATACTATGTTGCAAAAAAAAAAAAAAAAAAAAAAAAAAATCATGCAAACAACTTTAAAGGGATTATTTTATAATTCTTAGTTAGAATTAAAGATTTTGTACTGGAACCAAAGTGGACTTTTATATTCTCTTCAAAATACTTTTTAATTCTGTGGGTCAATTTAGTTAGCTCTATGTACTCACATCGGGTTTCATGCATCCATAAGAAAGCACATTTGCTCTAGCACTTGAAAATCAATTTGTCATTTGGAATAATAAGAGGCCCAGAATAGCCAAAGCAATCCCTAGTGAGAAAAGTGAAGCAGAAAACATAACAACACCAGACCTTAAAGTATACCACAGAGCTATAGTAACAAAAACAGCATGGTATTGGCACCAAAACAGACATGCAGACCAATGGTACAGAATAGAAGACACATAAATACAGTTATCTCATACTAGACAAAGGTCCCATAAACATAAGTTGGAGAAAAGATAGCCTATTCAACAAATGGTGCTGGGAAAACTGGAAATCCACATGAAATGAAATTAAAGCCCCTATCTCTCCCCTTCCACAAAACTCAACTCAAAGTGGATCAAGGGCCTAGGCATTAGACCAGAGATTCTGCACTTACTAGGCCCAAATCTCCATGATGTCAGCTTAGGAACTGAATTCTCCAACAAGACTCCTAAAGTACAAGAAGTAAAATCAAGAATCAATAAACGGGATGGTATCAAACTAAAAAGTTTCTTCACAGCAAAGAAAACAATCAATAATATGAAGAGAGAGCCTACAGAATGGAAGAAAATCTTTGCCATCTGCACTTCAGATAGAGCATTAATCTCCAGGATATACAAAGAACTCAAAAAACTTAACACCAAAAACACAAATACAGACACTTCACAGAAGAAGAAATATGATCAGCCAACAAATATATAAAAAAATTCAACATCTCTAGCAATTAGAGAAATGCAAACTAAAACTATATTGAGATTTCATCTCTCTCCAGTCAGAATGGCAATTATTAAGAATATAAGCAACAATAAGTGTTGGCAAGGATGTGGGGACTGCATTTTTCTGGTGGAACTGCAAATTGGTGCAATCACTATGGAAAGCAGTATGAGATTCCTCAGAAAACTTGGAATGGAACCACCATTTAACCTAGTAATTCCATTCCTCAGTAAATAACCAAAGGACTTAAAATTAGCATACTATAGTGAAGCGGCTACATCAATGTTTATAGTAGCTCAACTCACAATAGCTAAACTGTGGGACCAAAGTAGGTGCCCTTCAACAGATGAATGAATAAAGAAAGTGTGGTATATATACACAATGGAATATTACTCAGCCATAAATAAGAATGAAATTATGGCATTTGCCAGTAAATGGATGGAACTGTAGACTGTCATGTTAAGTGAAATAAGCCAATCCCAAAAAAACAAAGGCTGGATGTTCTTTCTGATATGCAGATGCTAGTACACAATAAGGGGGAAAGAATAGAAGTTCATTTGATTAGACAAAGAGGAATGAAGAGAGGGGATGGGAATGGGAATAAGAAAGAGAGTAGAATTAATCAGACATAACTTTCCTATTCTTAAATATGAATACTCAACCAGTGTAACTCCACATCAAGAACAACCACAAGAATGGGAAGTTATACTCCAAGTATGTATAATATGTTAAAAGACATTGCACTGTCACATGTAGCTAAAAAGAACAAATAAATAATTTTTGAAACAGAAAATCAATTTGGGCTGGGGTTGTGGCTCAGTAGTAGAGCACTTGCCTAGCATGCGGTGAGGCACTGGGTTTGATCCCCCACACTACATAAAAATGAAAACAAATAAAATAAAGGTATTGTGTTCATCCACAATTAAAAAATATTTTTTTAAAAAAGAAAATCAGGGGCTGGGGATGTGGCTCAGGTGGTAGCGTGCTCGCCTAGCATGTGTGAGGCACTGGCTTCGATTCTCAGCACCACATAAAAATAAAATATAAAGATATTGTGTCCACCTAAAAAAATAAATAAAAAATAAATATTTTTTAAAAAAGAAAATCAATTTAAAGACTTAAATTGAAGTGAATTATCAGTTTCTATTGCTGAATTGTTCAAACTGATAGAACATTTTAACTTTGGTTTAAAATTGCCAATACGAAAAAACAGAAGTCTTATTTTTGGATAAACAGAACTAGCAAGACTATTTTAATTCCCATTTCATATTTTACATAACGTGGCAATACTTTAGTGTGAGAGTAATTTTAAGGAGGGTCATGCTTTCCACAGACAATAGGTAAAGAACTTTTTCATAAAGGCCACAGAGAGTCTTCAGAACATCACCTCAACAAACCCTTATCATCTTTCTTTTCCTCTCTTCTGTCTCCATGGTCAGAATTTATTTGCAGGTCACAAGAACCAACACTGCTGTTGTTTTCTCACTTACCTGCTAACAACTGATCTATTTTTTCCCTTCTAGGACAATGCATTTTTCTAAATAAGTACATATGAAAGAGGTGTTCAGTTTTCTTAACTTCATGAATATAAAATCATAGGGAATTATGCCTCAATTCTTGTCTTGCTCTTCTCCCTACTTTCAAATATACTGTCTCTAGGGGAAAAGTATGTTCTAAGAGAAAGCAGGAAAATGATGCAAAAGGAATCCATGGGGCAGATCAGTCCTGTACTCCCTGGCCACCGAAATCACCACTGCATAAGAAGCATAAAAATGATGAGTGCCATGCTATGGTCTCTAGATCGAACATGGTTGTGACCACTGGCTTTCATAGCCATGCAATCAGACAGAACCAAATCTAGAATAATATATAAGGAACCAAATGAGATATTGGCCACTGTAAATGCAAAGGAATCTACACTTGGGATAAGCACAATAAAAACATAAACCTGCTAAACAGTACCAATGAGTACTCAGTCTGTTCCTCTTCAATTTCTATACAATAGGCGGTTCAAATACTGAACATCCTAAGCAGATCTGGAATCAAGAATTGGTCATTCATTTCGTTCTATACTCAAGATTTGGCAAGGGCTATTTCTCCTTATTCAAACAACCTTATACAAC